ATAATTACCCAGAGCCAAAGAAATGGGTGTTTTATTGAAAATACCAATCCACAATTGGGCAGGAGTTAGAGTTAATAAAAAACTCGAAACAATTCACTAACAAGAAAACCCACGAGTGTTCACTAAATCATACTCAGGATGGAAAGAGCTACTTTCAACCTCTTCAAAGCTGCATCCGACCACAGTGCGCTTTATAACCTGCCAAGCACATTTTCCTCTCTTAAAAAAAGCCATTTTACTTTCTTTCCACTTCATCCAAACTAGTTACACTCTTCCAAGTAACATCAGTCCTTGGCCATACCGTTGCCTATCACAAAACCCACTCAAGAAGGCTAGAGAGTAACTTTATAAGGATTATTCTTCAAAACCAGACCTCAGGACATCATAAATTGGGACTTGAGCTTTGTCCGCTTTAAAGACAAGCAACAAAACCTTTGGCTTTCACTCAAGAGGCAATTCCATCTTTTTGTGTTCCCAGGCACATCACTTTGTACCTTTTACTTGCCACTATAAGGACCTGCCAGGAGTTTTTATTTTTCTCAAAACTCCTCTTTTACTTGACCACATCAACGCTTTACCCTCAGCTGTACCACGCCTCAAAAGACAAATGATGCACAAATGTTTTGGGAGATGTGGTGGGATGCAGCACAAACTCCAACCTGCTGTTAGAGTTAGCAGCAGCCACTTTCTCACAAAAGGACATGACATTTTCTTTTTTGCAGATATCTTAAGCTTTCAACTCCTTATGATGCCCTTAATTTTTCCAAATTTCTATCAACCTACAACTAAAAAAATAACTCAGTAAATAGCCCAACCCTTTGCTTTTTTACATGCCCATTCCAATAGTATCTGAACGCCCTACAGAGCACTCTTTCATGCTGCTGCAGAATTTTTCCTTTCAAAGTTCTCCAAACTCTTTTTAAACATCGACTAATGAATCAGGCAATATTTACCCAGTTGCCTGGAAAACAGAAACACCTTTTGTAACAGCACAAAGTAACAAGAAGTGACTCATTCACAGCGCCAGGAACAGAGGCTGTAACTCTCAGCGTCTATTAACATGGTGTCTCCCCAAACGCAAGTCCCAAAACTCCTGCTCCCAAGATGACTGATCCATCTGTGGAACACTGAAGATTTAGCAACCTGCAACACTGTGCTCTATCCCCAACACCAGGCAATTTACCAGGCATGATTAATTCAAAATTCCTTTGTCTCTCACACCGCCATTCATTGAACATCAAACGCCTCAGCAAGAAGTTCCTAATTAAAACACGGAAAGGCTAAAATAAAATGTATTTTTGTACTTTACTGGTGGGTCTTTTATTCACAACTGAAATAGCTTCATGTCTAACTGTGTACAGAGCCACATATGCTATCTCAGAACACAGCAGCGAGCAGTGACCACTTCAACGCTGCAAGCAATTCTTGTGCTGCCCCTTCATGTCTAGAAGGAGGTGTCGAAAGGACTGAAATCTCCTGAACAAGGACCTTATCTGCAGTGCCACATGCAAAGGTGTCCCTGGGCACGTGCTCACATGGCCCTGCTCCAGCGTGCCATTAGCACCAGTGAGCCCAACTGAGCAGGAAAGGCAGGCACCTGGCATTCCCAGCCCCACATCTCCCAAGCCCAGGCACTCTGGGGAACTCGGCTACCCTGCCTCAAAGTGACAAGATAAGCGGCAACCTGCTCTAGTCCACACTAACTGTATCAGCAAGAAACCCAAGTATTCTGCTACATTATGCTGAAAAACTAACTTCCCTGGTCTCCTTGAGACCACTCAACCTGGAACTGAAACCTCAGATCTAACCTCTGTCTCATACCACAGATTCAAGAGAAGCCAAAGCCAAGGAGCACAGTTTCCATGCAAACCAGCCATTCAGGCAGCCCCTTCTGGCCAGAAACCTGCACACTCCTCTCTGCTGTATGAAATACAGAACACACTGCAGAGACTTAGCAATCCATAATGATCTCAGTCAGTGGAGTAGTGTGCTCTTGCTTTCTCCTGATGGGAAGGAGAATGACAAAGAAACAAAAAAAGCACCATCGATGAAGAAAGAAAAGGCATGGACTGCCGTCATCGCCACAGGGAAGCAGAGACACAAACCACAGCTCTGCATGTATGCCAGCCTTGCCAATGCTTGGATCTGAAGGCAAAGAAGCCCAGTACAGCGGGATGCGGAAAGCAAAGCCAAAATTTCCTGCTAAATATTGCTGCCAAACAAGACATTTCTTGTCAGTATTTGTAAAACAAATTGAGCCTGTGCTGTAAATATCCCTGCATCTGTGTGCTGTTTGTTTCGGCATGAAGGCTTGCAAATAAGCTTCCCAGCACACTTGCAGCAGGAGAATAGCTTGAGCCACTCTGGCAGGACTCAGCTGTTCAGGCCATACAACTGGCCCTTTGTGACCTGTGACAGACAGCACTCTCTGGTATTACCACTGCAATGAGGTGGGCGGCAGTTTGCAGCCACCTGTATACAATTTTTAAAAAAAAAAAAGCAATAAGCAAAGGAAAAAACCTTTCAAGAAAAAAAAAATTGTTTAGAAGTTACCTCAACGCTTTGAGATTCATTTCAGAATGCTTCAAAAGCTCAGCAAGCAAATCGACCATAAAATTTGGTTCAGGCTCAAACTATTTGTTTGAGGGGTTTCTTAGCATCAGCTAAGACCTCCTTCACCACAGCAAGCCAGTCTTCCAGCTCACCTTGCACCATGAGGCAAGTTCACAAACTCTGTTATAACATCCCTCTGCAGGAATGATAAAAAGAATAGAAGGACATCTCTGAAAAATGCCCAGCTATTTTTTCCAGGTTCTTCCCAAACAAGTGGTCTGAAAGAAAGCACTGCTTCACCCTCCAACAGAGAACTACACCTACTGCCATGTTACAGCATACTGGCCATTGCCTGCCACTCAGCAAGTAGCAATCTGATTGTACCACCATCAAAGCCAATTTTGGGAACCTACTAATCTATTCTCTAGTCTCCCATCCTCTTAGGACATGACACTCACCAGGCTGCTTGTTTCGGCATGAAGGCTTGCAAATAAACTTCCCAGCACACTTGCAGATGGAGAATAGCTTGAGCCACTCTGGCAGGAGTGGGATTAACTCACCTTTCATTAGATACAGGAAGCTTAACTTAAATATTTCCCCACTGTGGTCAGAGGAAAGGCACTGCAGATACCAAGCTTCCTATGAAATGTATTAAAGCACTACCTGAGGAGACTTGAAAATATATTTCTTGCAAGTAACTTCCATAACAAAAGTTTGGTCTAGGTGTCAACATTTGGAAATTTAGAGCATATTAGGGTTTGATGAATTGAAGTTCATTTTACAGCAAAACCAAACAATACATTTCTCTCCCCATCACCATCACTAACAAACTCAGGAGTAGAGACTGGCCCATGGAACTAAGTGCCAAAACTTCCACGGATTTCAAACTGAAGTCCTAAACACAGAACCTTTCCTTCTCCTACTCAGAACTAAAATAAATTCTGGAGATGGTTACTGCTTAGTTATATTAGAGCAGCATTTTGAAGGGCCAGATGAACAGCCTCATCATTCCAGCACTTGTATACACGTCAGGTACACACACACGGCGAACAGTAACTCTGCCAACAGAAAGTAGCCTAAAACCAAAGACACAAAAAGGTGGTGACCACTCCATAGTCAGAAATGGGGCTGATTAGAAACTGAAGTCAAGAGGCTGGCTCAGTATTCTATTTGTTAGCCCTCACTATTGACAACCAAAAATTATTAATCACTGCTTTTGTCAGAAAAGGAGATTGGCTTTCATGGATTTCAGAGGTATGCCAGATCTCCACACAACCTTCACCTCATCAGGATCAATACAATTTACCTGCTGGCTTTTCAGCAGGTGGGAAGTGGTACAGGCTTCACTGACCTCCAAGGAACAGTCCTGCTTTCTGCCAGAGGATAACTTGGAACACTTTGCCCACCAGTTGGACAGAGATGAAAGTGTGTGTGCACTTGGACGAGCCCAGCAGAACGCAAACAGAAGGCCGAAGCGGAGGACTCCACAGGACACATACCTGCCTGGTGGCAGGAGGAGAGCAACACAAGTTAGCCAAGCACAAAAACACGTTAACTTTGATTTACCAATGACTTATTCTGGGTCACTGCTTGACGGATGAGGGTTAGTTTCAAAGGGTTAGTTTCAAAGCACAAAATTTTAAGGGAGTCACATGATGTACACAGCTGACTTTACATTTGTATACAGTGTACAATCTGTTCATATCACGGCAATCCACCCAAACACACAGGTAGGCAGCAAGCTGTTCCTCTGCAGTGCAGGAAGGGGAACTTGCCACCTGCAGGCAAATCTCTCAAAGTTGCAGAGGCACTATGATACACAAGCTAAAACCAAAAGCAACGTGTTAGGCTTTCACATCTGCAAGCCAGAAAGCACACACCTGTTCATTCCTCCCCACAGACACAACCACTTACAAAAACAAGTTTCCCTGCCTTCACATTAAAAACTGCCAGGAACTTATGAAAGCACAGAGGAAAGTCTTTAAAAGAAAGCACATCTTGTTGTGAAACACAAAGGAGTGGACGCTTCAAAACCAAGCAAACAGCCTTACTGCTCATGCAACATTTGCTGTTGGAGCAGAACTGCATCGCTCTCCAGCTGAGGCACAACATGTGGGATTCCTCCTGCCTCTGCTTGTGGAAAAGCCAGGGCAGTCAGTGTTTCCACAGTGTCCCCTATGAAAGGCGATGCTAGCTGGGGTCTCCAGCTTCAAGGTGAAAAACATCCTGTCAGAGAAGTGACAACAGCCATAAGGAAAAGAATTATTCCCCACCACCAGTCCAAAGGAAGAGAGGGTAGTAAGGTATAGGCTCCCTACAGAAGAAACTGCACAGAATGATGTGGGTTCAGTTAAAGGGAAAAAGTTTCAGAGACATCAAAAACATTAAGTCAGCAATAACAGCCAAAAGGACAGAGGGGAAAAAACGAAAACTAATGTGACACATACCCACAGTCTATCCAGCCTATAGTACCTCGTCCTTTCACCTCCTGGGCCACGCTGGACAATAACCTGAGTGAGCTTTCCGCAGCAGCAGCTGGAAGACAAAATAAAATAATAAAAATAAATAAACAACAGCATTACTACTCCACATAGTAGAACACAATGGTGTGCTTCTTTGTTCTGAAGCACCAGAAGAACATTTTATCTAATTTGAAGAAACCAGTATGACAGGGATCAGTAAAATTTTCTGTAAACTAGAAGGAAAGCTGGCTGCAGCTGAAGCTGCATGGCTCCTTTCCTCTCTCCCCTTAAAACAACACAGAAATTCATACCTCCAGGCATGCTCCCTGAGCTACATTTATGGAGCTATACTGTGTTTTCTCCTGCAAACCAGTTTCTATTCCAACATTGCCTTTTCCCTGTGGCTGGGCATGAACCAGTTTGTGCCACTGCCTGCTAATTAGAGCAATTTCATTTAGGACTTTCATCAGCTGTAAGGGCAAGGCATTCAGCCTAACTCTCCCTAATTCTACCCCTGTCATACACAGAAAATAACACACTTTATTCTCAAATAACCAACAGTCCTGAGGAGCACCCTGAAAAGGTACTTCCAAGAACTGGCTGTATTATAGATACCCAACAGAGATTTTTATAATGCCATGCCACATTTGTAGATTTTGCAAAACACTTCCATTCCAAAGAAGTCTTATAAATGGTATTAAAAATATACAGAAGAGAGAAAAATATAGCGGTAGAAAGAAGTATCAGTCCCCCCAAAAATCTAATAGGAACTGTTTCCTTCCTTGATAAACAAAAAATAGAAACCCAGAGTCTCTTTCAGATCTCCATAACTATTTCAACAATCTGAATGTAAGAATGTCTACATTGGGTCAGGCCGAATGATCCTATAGACCAATATCCTGCCTCCAGCATTTGAGAAAGTGATGGCCTGTAGATACCAGAGTAGACAAGCAGAGACATTGGGATATTTGAGGGATACCCCCTCAAACACACTTTTAAAAATAAAAGCATTCAGGGACCCATTTGTCCCAGAAAACTCAGTAGCTGAGCAGCCCTGGCAGGACACCTGGCTGGTAAGGTGAACTAAACATCTGCAGATGAGGACACCTCCTAACCAATGAGTTCTCTGAATGAGATAAAAAGTGTCACCTAGTTCTGCTCAGCTGGGAAGCAAAGACTTTCTTCCAGCAGCATGATCAGATGCTGGCCAACATCTCATTAGAGCTGGGGGATGCATATCTGGGATTAGAATTGCACCTCCAAATTCCTCTCTCTTTTTTTCCTCTCCTCTCTTTCTGGGTGACAGAATTCTAATTGTACAAGGATCACTGTTCTAGGAAGGAACATTAATCCCACAGTCAGCTCTGCATGCAATGCTTTAGATTGCTAAAACCAACCAATTAAATAACAAAAACAGAAAAAAAAGAAATCCCTATAACATGGCTTTTGAACAATGCCCATAGGGCAACATTTATTAGATGAGTGTCACAGCTGAAGTGTTCTGGTTGTGCTACTAAAAATGAAAGCAACCACCACTTAAAATATTAAGCGTAAAAAGAAAATTTTCCCTTTAAGAAGCTGAATAATACAGATGTCTTTTTATCTAAAGTGTTCCTTTCAAAATCAAAAGGTATTAGAAACTCTTTTATGGTTTTTACTTTGAACCTGTTACTACAAAACCATTTGGCCAAGTTCAAGCGCTCAAAGTTCCCCACTATAGCAAAACACAATTTTTTTAACAAAATAATAAGTCACACATATAATTTTAACTGTTTCAGAATAATCTTTAGGAAATAAAGTTAATTATTGCAGCTCCTGCACCTCTTTGTCTGCAAAATTCTCTGATACTGGGGCAACGGGGACAAGAGGATATTAGTCACCATATACTGCTCCCATTTGATACACTATAAACCCAGAGCAACTCTACCATCATTGTGTTTAATTTAGATAAGACCTTTGCAACAGGTCAGAAAAGGAGGACACAATACCCAAACAAAGCATTATCTTCTACAGCTTGCCTACAGGAAGGAAAAGGAAGCAACAACAAAAACAATAAAGAAAATAATCATAGTGACACATTTTACTTCTTGCTCTCCAGTGACTTCCACATTCACAATACCATTCTGCACTTGTGTATGAAGTTTAAAGATAGTTTATTTATTTTACATGGTGTCACACAAAACAACACACCAAAACAAACAAGGCAACAGTATAGCCAGAGCAGAGCAAAAGGAAGAGCAAACAAGTAAGTAAACAGCCAGAAAGGAAAGCCTGAAGGAAAGACAAGACAACCAAAAGATTCAAGGGGACAGGTGGCATAACATGGAGATGAGTCATTTCTCCCTCTTACACAACAGTTCATTTTTTATTTTTATATTTTGTTAATTAAAGCTGAAAGACAACCATGGGACACTCAAAGCTGTCAGAAGCAAAGATGGATTGATTTCAGTACTGTAACTATTCATTAAGCTTTTCAGTGTCACCAGGAAATCAAAACTTGCAAACTACTGTGATAAACACACTAGAAAGCTCTTATTACAGGGAGCCATTTCTGGAGACAAAGCCAGAATAAAGGACATTTTTGCCAATGTGACAGAGCAATTAGAGGGCCGAATCAAGGTGACTCCAATCTTGAAACACCAGGAGCCTCTGAGTTAAAACAAAGGACACTATTCCTGAAGAAGCCCTTGTAGTCACGTAGAAGCCCCTTGGTGCACACCTTGCTTGCGTCACAACAAGCTGTGACATCAAAAAAAAAAAAAAACCAACAAAAAAGGAAGAGGACTTACCAGATTTGGAATAGAGCACTAGTACGTTATTCCGTGTCCTGAGAAGCTTCTTAAAATCCTTGTGATCACTTATTTTTTCAATGAGTGGAGACACCTTCAAGGAGTACACGAATGCTGGCAAGAATGCCTGCAGAAACACAAAGCCAGAAACATCAGTAACAGCTCCCATGCAAAGAAAAAAATACAAAGACAAACTGCTTTTGCAAATTGCTTCAACATTTTTCTATAATCTTGAGGCACGCTGCCTTAAATAAACTATCATATTGATTTGATCAGCAAAAGCCAAAAAAAAAAAAAGAGCCATGCACATGATTTATTGAAACTAGACCAATACCATTCCAAACACACATCCTTAAGTGGAGAGATAAACACAACATCAAGAAATACAGTTTTAGTTGATGCTATCCCCTTTAGAAGTTTGTTCCCTAGTCAGATAATCAGATAAAAATTCTTATATAAATTTAATATACTCTAACAAGAGAAGTAGCAAATTGCCAGTTCAAGAGCACTGTTGTCCCTAGATCTCAAAATACACTGCAAACTCAATGGAGTACTTTGATATCCCACTAAAGACAGTGAGAGCCAAGAAGCTAAAATAACCCACACTGACACAGAGCAGACAAAGGAAATGAGAACAGAATATGCAAGTAATCCAGCATCCACATTACAGCACTAAGCACAACCCTCTCCCACATACCCTCCCAAACTGGATTGGGGCTTATGTTTCCCAGTGTCCATCTTGTATCACACACACAGAGCAGTGTCTTTGCCACAAGATCAACTTTGGCTTCCGCTGGCCACAAGGAAGACACGGCATTTAATCTCTCTGCATCTCAGTTCTGTATCTATGCAAAGAAATTATTTTTTACTGCATCTTTTGGTCTATTTAAATCACGACTCTTCCAGAGCAAAGTTTGCCTGTCATAAAGTAAAACTCCTATCAAATTATGACCATAATGTCAGCTGGGGCTTCTACTGCTCATTTGTACTGCAATAACATTCAATAATAACAATAATAATAATAATTTTATCCATCAGGCTATGCTGCCTCCGTTCCACACTGTACTGAAGTCATGCTAATGGAATGATTATGGGAAGCTTAGCTGGAGAAATTATCTAGATTCCATTCACCTTACAGTAAAACCTTAACACTTAATTGCTTGGCTAAAAGCTTTAGCTCATTTGCCTAACACACACAAGAGGTTCAAGGTTTTCTTAATTACAGAACTCATTTTGATTGTGCCTCACTCCAGATGGGCTGGAAAATGTGTCCAGGGTGGATGCGAAGAAGTAAGAGGCTGTTTTCCTTGCATCCCATATATTACAATATGCAGCATTTGAAGAAGGGACTAAGCCAATCAAAGTCAGGACAGTGCAGCCCCAGGCACAGACTTCATTACAAAGACAGTTATTTGCAAACACCACAATCACTGAGGCACAGAAACAAAACCTGCACCTACGAAACAGACTTTATAAGTGCCAGAAGTTTTTACATGTAGAAAAGAGAGCAGGGTGGGGGGAGTCCTGGGACACACATGGCAATGTAAAGATGCTGAACTGAAATGGTCATCCTCAAAACAGCCAGGACATATGTGGTTATTTAAATTTACTAGAAAATACACCTGTAACATAAAATCTAGGAGTGAACAAGTTACCCCACTCCACAGGCAGGATTCCCACCACTGAGCCTTGCTGACCAAATGGTCTAACTGTGAGAAGGAAAAGTACACAACTGCAAGTCAGCCCCTACTTTCAGCATAAACATCCTTGATGCTTTACTTTGACCAAAAGACTCACATTCTTCTAACTCCAGATATCCAGAGCTCAGTCTTCCTACTTCAGCCATACAAGGAATTAATCTAACTTTGACTTCTGGGCAGATCTATTTAATCCTAAATAATTTATATAATAGTAAATTTAATCTTTATTTAAAAACTTCTCCCTTTGCCTCAATTTTTTTGTAACTATTCAAGTGTCTTAGATTTTTATTTATGCCTTAACTGAACTAAGGCTGAACACAGAGAAAGGTGGAATTACAGGTTGCCTGTAGTTTAAGGAACTGGACTCAATTAAGGATACTCTAGTTTATGAACTCTGCTAAAAAGAAATAATTGGAGTAAAAAAAGCCACAAAAGCCACTTTCAACATGACACCAAACGGTATTATGAACTTTATTTAAAGCATCTGTCCAGTTTTTAATGATAGGTCAGAAGAGGGGCATTGGAACTAGATGGTCTTTAAGGCCCTTTCCAATCCAAACCATTCTACAGTTCCGAGTACAGGCATTTTCCAGATGGAAAGGCTGTTCTGCCAATTTCAGTGACTTTCTTTCTTTTTTTTTTTCCTCCCCCTTTCCTTATAATGGCAGAGCTATAAACTTCTTGAAAAATTGGATTCTGGAAACAATGACAGCTGTAACTACTGCCTTGTCAGTGTTGTCACTAACAGAAAACTTGCTGCGCTGGTGGAACAGTAGATGCTTGGAGGGAGACACATGTCACATTGCACATATCCACTGCTACTCTGCCCAATTCCTCTCCAGGTATCAAATCAATACATGTTACCCATTTTCCCACAGTTTTACTACAGCAGCTCTCTCTGTTCCTATGGTTTAGACCAAAACCCACCGGGAAAGGCATTGTGCATATGAGCACGCCAGTCAGCCCTGCCGAATAAATCATCATCTCCCTTTAATTAAGATTAATGTGGCAGCCTTTCCTGGTTCTAAAACCCAAAAGGTCCAAGCCAAAGGTAGAACTGGACAAAAACGCCCTGCCTGCACATCTAAGGCAGCCGCAGCAGTACTGGGAGGATATTGGCTGAGCGGGAAAGTTCATCACCTCCCAGTTTGCATTTGCACTACATGGTGTTTGCAAACTGATAAGGATTAAGTAGTTCCGAACTCTAAAGCTTTCTCCTGCTGAAATTAATCAAGACCCTATCCAGGAATAAACGAGAGGCCAGTTTATTGTTAAACCTCCAGAAGAACCAGCTCCATTGAAGGCAAGCGATGCCAAGCGGTCATTTCCACCAGATGCCAGTCCCAGCCACAGGGCTGCTTTGCCCTGCTCCACAGTCAAAGCTGTCATAACTGTACCAGCAGCTACTGCCTCACAAGGGCTACAGCCACTAGTTGGGTCTACAACATGAAACTAAGAGCATGGGAAAAAAGAATCCTATAGAAGCTGTTATACTCTTCTTCTCCACAGAAAACCAGGCTCATATTCCTGCACAGCCCACAGGTAAAGCAGCAGTAAAGGTGAAGCTAATTGGCATGTACTGTGCTATATGAATTTAATTTTAAGATATGAGTCAGGTAGATTTACTCCAGACATTTTGCAGGAGAGCTCACCAGCCAGGCACTGCCCAATCAAGCACACTGCTTCTTGTTTAAATCCAGGGCACAAGAGGAGATGAGCATATATTAAAAAAAGAAAAGGTCAAGAAAGGTGACAGTCCCTCCTGGGCAGGAAGCCTCTTTTCATATGCGTCAGGAAGTGCTACATTCACACATATGGAAGTCTATAAATAAGAAACAAGCTAAACTCTCTTGTCACTTGAGCATCCTAAAGCTTTAAAATCTATTCCCAAACCACTGTTGAAAAGTTAAGAAACACTCGAAATATTTTTTTCAAGAAGCTGCCCACCTCAGTACCTGCTAAAGTATAAGGCATATTAACACAATAATGTAAAACATCTGTGCCACCCTTGCCAGTTATGCCAATGAGAAATTGCAACAGAACTAAAGGAAGGTCTATTTTATTTCATGCTGTGTGTGCACAGTGACTAGCAAAACAGGTCCTCATCCATGGCTGGCTTGGTAAGCTGGAACAAACATGACTGTCACCTGGTGTCCTTGGATACAGAAAACTTTGGTAAAGACATTCAGAAAAAAGGCAAACTACACGTGGCAGACTATGAAATGCAAATCTCATAGCAATTCCAGTATGCAGATTTCCCCCAGCTCAAGATTGCAATCTGAATTTATTTTCACAGAATTTTTTATGGTGTTGGTCACACATCAGTCATGTGACTGTAGTGTCTAAGATGCATGAAAGATTCTCAAGTAAAACATAAGTGAATCCAAACTCTCAAGACAGTCAATTCAAAACTGCTGAGACACTGCTATTCAAGTAGAAGGTACAAAACCCCCCATGTTCTAGCTCTGCCTCTGCTCTTCAAAGTATGCATTTAAATATATGATCTTGCAAGCTAGGTGGGAGAAGTCTGATCAGTCAAAAAGGTTTAATTTTCTTTTTTTTCACTGTTCTCTAACAATTCCTTGCAGAGTTGCTGAACATATGCAAGTGCTAAAGAGTAGTAAACACCCCACAACCCTAATCCTTTAGAACTGGTACCCAAGAAACATCTGAGCTTTCAGAAACCCAGAGGCAAAGAGTTATAGGCAAATAACTATTTGCTAATTATACTTCCAGGACTGACACTATTGAAAAATGTGGTCATCCCTCAGGCTGTGTTTTCTCAAAATCATTGAGGATCTGAGAAAGTAGAGTTTATTTTTCAAATTTTACTCTTCTCTGAATCTCATTTTAGAACGAAAAAAGGGAATATCTTTCAAACAGCCACAAGAATGTATTTTCATATTTTACATTTATTATTCAAATTAAATGTGATAAATGCTTAACTGCTGTTCCCACAGAACCCAGTTCAATTTATGAGTTGCTCCCCACAAAGGCTTCATGACAGCATGGTCTTTTGCTAAGGATAAGCAGCATGTCTGTAGAATTGCTTATTTATTTATTTTACATCAAGGGCAATGGAAACACACATTTTTAAAAAAAAAAGAAAATAAAAATCAAAATTAAATAAGGAAGAACTATCAGAAGCGTAGCATTATACACGGGACAGAAAAAACTATTTCCTATTTCTCCTACTTCCAGCTCAAGCGCATGAAATATACATTTCCCTGGACACAAATTATGCATGAAAAATACAAATGCTTATGCTGCTGACACAGTGCTTAGGTGCCCGAATCCATATGTCAACATACAATTTTTATGTGCACACTAACACATGTATAATTAGGCAGACAATTTGCACGCTATTCATCAAGAATAGCTGGGGCTGACTTGCACACAACGCTGTTTCCAGAACACCTGCTGCTTG